CTATTTTAGTTTCAATTTTACTTTTTCTATTTTCTATTTTAGTGATACAAAACAAAGTAAGTATAACTTTTTGTATATATGTATATTATTTTACGTCCTACGGAGGCCTTCCATACATCGGTGTGAAACTGGCCAAGTCTACTTTGGTGCCCATAGCACGTACAGGCCGCATATAGATCTTCCTGTTGTATGTTCTATTCACGCTAGATCTATGTCTGTACGTGAAGAGCCTTGGCTGTCTATGGCACCACTAAGGTAGTTCTTGGTCGCGCGAGCAACTATTAGCTGGTAAGCAAAAAAAAATAAATTTTCATACCAATCAAATTCATTTCTGCTTGTTTCGTTTTAGTTCATTTCGATTTCTTCAACAGCAAAGTAAATATAATTTCTTTCACTTATTTTCTTATTCCAAACAAATAAAATTAATTGCTACCTTTTATGTTTTAGTTCCATTCAACAAAAAATTCAATTCAATTCAAACGAACACAAATGTAAGTATATAAATTTTCGATTCTTGTTGTTTAATTTTTATGTAATTTAATTTTTTTGGTTTTTAAAATAAACTTTATTTAAATAACTCAAATTATTTTCTTTTCATTTCAATAATAAATATTTTGTGAAAATAAAATTTGTTTTATTTTCCCTTATAAATTATTTTATTTTATCAATAAATATTTTCAAACACACAAATTTTCATTTAAATAATACAAAATTTTTCTTTTTCATTCCTGGAATAAAATTTGTAAAAATAACACAAATTTTATTTCATTTCACTAATAAATAAATAAATGTTACTACTAAATTATTTTATTTTACTAACAAATTATTTTCATTTTACCAATAAATAATTTTCAAAATAATACAAATTTTATTTTTGTTTAAATAATTCAAATTTTCTTTTTCATTTAAATAATTCAAATTTTCTTTTCAGGAATAAAATATTTTCAAAGTAACAAATTAATTTTCATGTCAAGAATAAATATTTTGTGAAAGAAAACAAAATCTTTTATTTAATTCATTTCTTTTCATTTAACAAATAAATAAAAGAACAAGAAAAGAACCACATGATATAATCTTATATTTAGCTTTTTTTTTCTTTTCGTTGAAGGAAAGGGTAAAAGGAAAATTTATTTTTTCTGTTCATTCATTTCAGGGTGTGGAAAAAGAAACGAACAATGAAAAAACAATTTAGCAGTCTTTTTCGATAGAAAATCGTTGAACACGCAAACTACTTTGATCGGCGACATAGAGATTACCATGTCGATCGAAAGACAAGCCAATGGGGTAGTTGAACTGATTTGCTCCTGCTCCTTTGCCATTTCCACCCACAATTACAGTGCCTTGTGTGTTGTCTCCTGGAGTCCAACGCATTACACGATCATTGTAGCAGTCTGCTACATAGACTGTACCCAACGTATCAACGACGATTCCAAGTGGAATATTAAATTGTGTCAGAGCACTCCCTTGGCCTTGTCCTCCAGCGACCACAATACCTTCTTGTGCACCTTCCGCCCATTTCATTACACGATTATTCGAGTATTCTGATACGTACACTGAATGATCTCGATCGACAAAGAGATATGTGGGTCCGTTGAGTTGATTGAGTCCAGCACCAACGCCATTACCACCAGCCACGAGAGTGCCAACGTTGTCACCCAATTCATATCGTCTTACTTCATTCTTTGCGTAGTCAGAAACGTAGAGATATCTCTGCTCATCCATTGCTAATCCATAACAAACGATGTTGTCGATGAGCATTTCACCTTGTCCTGTACCACTACGACGAGACCATCGTACAACTCGTTTATTCCCCCAATCACAAATAATGAGACTATCCGTCTCTTTGTCAATTAATACATCAGTTGGGCTATTCAATTGATGTAATCCACTTCCTTGCCCATTGCCACCAGCAACAACTTGTCCATTCGTTGTATCACCGTTCTTCCATTGCATGATACGATGATTCCAGAAGTCAGCAATAACTACTGTTTGATCATCATCAACGAAGAGGCCAAAAGGGTAGTTGAGTTGATTAGTGGCACCCCCAACCCCATTACCTCCAGCAATAGTCACTCCGTTCTGTGCCCATTTAGCATTAGCAGGAATATTAACTAGAAAAGAAAACATAAGAATAAAAGGAGATCTCTCTCCCTCTATCGCGCTGAAGTGTGGGCGTGATTCTTCTGCTAATCTATACTCACACCCAATCATGGAGATAATTAATCGATCAATCGAAATCGAGCCTTACGAATAGATCGCCAAGTAAGAATAGTTTTCTCAGTGATAAATTGCATTAAGGCTATACAAAAACTATTTAATACCTATCAATTGAAGATTTTTCGTACGATATACGGACCACCAACACCGTTTTTTAGAAGAAAACAACCTAATCGGTAGAAGAACACTTTGACTAATTCTGAAATTCACTCACGGACCATTATAGGTTTCAGAATCATACCCAATTTCATCAAGTAAGTTATGAAATTTCTTCACTTGCTTTAAAGAGAAAATAGTAGACCGCGATTTTTCCAGCTATAACTGATTCTGCTCATCTCATACCAGTACACTTTTCTTACAGGCGACGTCCGTGCTTATATGCAAAGAAAAAAGTAGTTAAGGAGCGAAAGACAATCTGATAATTCTTAGGAGAAACTTGCATTATGAGAGTAAAAGGAGAATTAATTTCATAGATGAATTGATGAAGAACGCAATACAACACAACATTTCGCACAACACAAGAATGCAACAGCACAATATTTCTGCTTTTACTAGACGGATACCGTACCTGTGCGTATATCTCCCGATGCCGATCCTGTATCTGTGCGTATCTCTTCCGATGCCGATACCGTATCTGTGGGTATATCTTCCGATGCCGATCGCATATCTGTGCAGACAACGTTGTCGGCGCTACCAGTGTTAGTATAACCAGCATTACAGGTGCATACCATTGCAGATGTAGTTGGGTCTTCTGAACAAAGAGCATTTGGATCATATCCGCCATTGTTGTCGTCATCGTAGTAGCCTAAAAGAGAGTAGTGGTTGTGAGGGTGTTCGTATCAGTGCCTGTGCGAATGTTGATGTGGGCATGGCTAGTATCGTTCTTTGCTAGTCGACATGGATGATAACTCAATTTCGTGGAGAGTAGGAATTGCGTGGAATTCCCTACATGTGCTATTCGTCCGAATTCCTGAATTTCTAGACATTTGAATGAATGGGTTCTCTGCGTGGGACGGGTTTCGGAATGTTCAATATCGCGCCAAAGAACGTATTATCGATAGATTGAAAGTGATATTGTTTGGGAAGAAATTTGTTGTGGTATTATTAAAGAAAAAGTTCCAAGTAAAACCCATGTTACTGTAGGTTTAGGTTGGACAAGTGTCTTTCGTAAATCTTCAACTTAATGGAATTGATGTGAGTCGCCATGAGGCAACAGGGTGGAATGACTAAGATTAAAATTATCGTAGAATATTTCACTTGAAAAAGTTGACAACATCATAGATAGAAGGAGCAATATCAACATGCGCTTGGTTTTTTCTCTCAATCATACAGAAATGAATTTCGTTGAAAAATTCATCAAAAAAAGGAAAGTGAAAGCATTTTTTTGGGGTTGCATGAACAAATGAGATTGTTGAACATTATATTATCAACTCGGGTTTTGTTAGATGACATGAAAGTGTCGGAAAACTATAACGAAAGTAAAAGAACCGGGCGACAGTTCTTATTTTGTTTAGGAAGCAAGGTGAACCATCTAGATCAACCAATCTTCTAGAAGTGTAGCTGTCACAACATATGTCTTCATTATACAGCAGAATATCAAAGGTGTATAAGATTTAATCTATAAACTTACTTTGTGCAAATCCACCGTGAAATGCTTGTAACAAGAATACCAGCAATGGTAACCATGCATAAAGCAAACGACCATATAATGCCATTTTTGCGAATCAACAACTTCGATTTGGGTGAGTTGGAATGTGTTTTGAAAATGAAAAAAAATCCGAGTATTTATAGTACTCGATAAATCTGGCGCAGCGAGAGGGAGCACATATTGAAGAAACAATCGAACGTGATCGCGTAACAGCTTGTGTCCATTAAGTTGCATGATTATGGGCCAGGCAGATGTCACACATATGTGTTTGATGAATAGTTAATGATTTGAAAAATCAACGTCGCATTTTAAAATAATCTCGAAATAGATTTAATAGCATCCCACGTTGTTGCCATGTACTTTTTTCTGTGAACTGTAAAATTTCGAGAGTTTATGTCATCGTTTCTTCAAAGTCACGGCCTCCAGAAAAACTTTTTTTTTGTGAAACATCGTAAAAGCAAGATCATAATCATAATAAAAGTCATAGAAAAACGTATCGTTTTGGAACTTAAAATTTTCGCTACAACATAAACACATTCACATTATTCTTCTATCAAGATGTGCAACAAGATTTTAGACACCGGTTTGTAAAAGTTTGGTAACACGTATCATAGACCTGTAGTTTGTTTTTTATGAGTTTTATTATACTAGCATTTCATACAAGTAATTACATGCGTAGCTTCTCAAAAGAGATACTTCTTAATTAAGCATACCACTATTTAAAAGTGCCTATAGCTACTTAAAATCCTATTGGATGTGAAAATCTTACAGCTGTTTAAAACTATTAATAGTTAATAAACCTATTATATACTTATGTAAAATCATGCACATCGATTTTAAATCATCTTCGAAAAGAAATCATTTTTTTTTGAATTAAACAAACAGTTTTTTTTCATATTTATTAAAAAAAAAGGGCTATTAAAAATAGTACATCTATGTCTAACACCATAGTATTCTTAAGTTACTTCCTTTTATTCTTTCTAATTCTGATCTCCAGCTGTTCTTTTTTCCAATCCTACTCGAACCATATATGAGAAGCAATTCAAGATTTTGTTTCAATCAATATTAAGGCATTCCTGTAGGTATTTAAAATTGCATATCTTTTCATAACTATCTTTATCTGTTGAAAAAAAGCGAGATGAAAACAGTGAAATAATAAACACTATGTAAAACTTTTATTTAGAATCATATATATGTATATTAAATTTATCTCTCAGAAAAAATGATTTTTTTAAATGATACAAACAGTTTATTTATTTATTTATCTTTAAATCTGTGTACCTATTCAAATTTACGTATGACTATTTAGCTTTTGGAATAGCTTTTAAAAGATAAATATTGTTATTAAATAAAATACAGTTAATTCTTGCAAAATAAATTAAAATATATTAAATATTCTATCGAAATATGATGCTTTTTTAATCTACTATGCAAAATAATTCAATATGAAATTAAAAAAGAAAAAATTCATTCGATGTTTACGATGAAACTTTTCAAGTCCTTATGTATGTATATTTCTATATAAATGCATATATCTGATATACGATTACTGTACCATAAGACGGGCAACTTCTTCAAGTCAATATTTCTGAAACATCTAGGCCGGGCTGGTTTAACTACAAGATGAACAAAAAAAGAGCTACTATGAAATAAAAATTGATGAAGACTAACATACCAATGACAATTGGTTTCAACTTTTCATTATTAGAAAAGAACTACTCTCTCTTGAGTATAGCAAGTATATGAAATAATTTCGAATGTTTTGAGTAAAATTCTTTTTAGAAATTCCTCGGAATAAGCAATTTTTCTATATACTGGAAGATTATTCTATAGAAAGAAAATTCTCTCTTATGTGACAGTGATAAGTATAAGAAGAAAACTCGATAAAATGAATGAAAAAGTTATATTAAAAGAATATTACACTCTAGTAATTATGAGATCAATCATACATATAGCATATAGTTCGCTCTGTCTGTTCAGCGTATTTAAATTCTATTTTTTGTCGAAAATCAAACTTAAATAATTATTGTAACGAAATATATAGTGGGTTATTATTCTTTGGTTCTGGGTGAATTGATAAATCAAAATATAACGTTACGGGTTTTGATGATATTTATTTTAATAATAATATGAGCACACACAGATAATAACAATTTGACATAAAATTGATAAATGATTACAACACACACAGTAATAATAAATGTTGAACGATAACCGTTTCACGATTCTGAATTGTAACTTCTACTTAATATTGCTAACTAAATAACTCTTTTCCGTACTATCTATATCACTGCCTCTTGATACTACTCCAAAATTATCTATCTCTCTTCTACTATATCACCGTTCTTTTTTACTCTCGCTCTTTTCTCTCTCTCTCTATTTCATTCTATATTTATATCTATTTTCCGATAAAGGAAAGTATGAGCCATAAGAAGAATGACTTGAGTCATTTCGATCGTTTCATTGATTGACACGACCCCTGAACTTAGATAACTGTTTCTTGTCATACTTGACCGGATTACGTATTGATAGTATTAACAGAACATCCTTTTCTATTATATGACTTAACCGTTCCTTAATATTGATGTGAACTCTCGTACCGTATAGTTGCGCTCAATGACAGTTCAAATTATCCGTATAAAGAATACGAAGAAATTCCATAATGGGGAAACGTAGATATCTGAATCAGGAGGGGTGTATCATTCATAAAAAGGTACACATGATTTTCTGAATATATGAGAATATAGATTATATACGAGTGATATATGTTTGTAGAACGAATACTGCACTATAAATCTTTGTGAAAATATATAAATTATCTGTTAAATGAACCTGCCAATTTTGTATTCCTAGACACATATTAATATACGAATCACAAGAATATTAGAAACCGATATTTCATACGTCGACTATTACGTGGCATTTTTATCTTTAAACTTGCTTATCAAATTTTGTCTTTTTCTATGATCAAAATATTCTATTAGATTTGTTTTTGTTCTCTTAAATCTCAGTAGAACATTTCCTATTTAGAAAATCGCACATTTCTATATTCTAGAATAGCTTTTATTAAACTCTATATAAATTATTCTGTGGCATTAGGAGGAATATTAACTAGAAGAAAAAACATAAGAATAAAAGGAGATCTCTCTCTTTATCCCGATGAAGTGATAGTATTATTAGAAAAGTACTACTGTTTCTCTCTCTGGAGTATAGCAAGTACATGAAATAATTTCGAAAGTATCGAGTAAAATTCTTTTTAGAAATTCCTCAGAATAAGAAACTTTTCTATATCTTGGAAGATTATTCTATAGAAAGAAAATTGTTTCTTATACGACGGCGATAAGTGTAAGGAGAAAGCTCGATAAAAATGAATGAAAAAGTTATATTAAAAGATTTCCTCGACAGAATTACACTATAAATCACACACATAGCATATAGTTCTCTCCCCAGGTGAATGAATCCGATACCGAATCCCATCGGATTCTATGGGGGCCCTAACATCCGACGAAATCCCGTTGGATTCTTGGTTGAGAAATCAATGTCGGAACCAGGAATCCGACGATAATCCGATAGTTTCCTTGCGCCTTCGGAAGAGCTCTGTCGGATTCCAATAAGAGCCGATCGGAACTCATCGGACCCTAGGCTAGGATTCATTCTTCTGGGTATCAATCGATTTGATCGACGTTTTCTTGATGTTATTATTAATGTATCAATTTTGTTTTACTGATGGGCAAACTAATTTACTTAAAAGTACCAGTAAAAACTTCGTGTTCAAACATCTTCATTTGCTATTTTACAACGGCAATTTAAAAGAGATGTCATACGTTCTTTCAAAAATGACATTGATTGTTGATGCACAAAAAGTTAGCTTATGTATGATGTTTAATATTCGATGTCAAAACTCAGTAACGAAACAAACAGAATTTGTTGTGTTACCATGCTATACCAAATGTTATTCAATTGATTATACACAAAAGAGGATTGTAAAATTGATCAGATTTTGATTTTATAATGCTGACATGACTGTCAGCATAGTATTGATCTATTTTTCTTATGAAAATTAATACGCATTCTTATAGTAATAAATGCAATGCAGTTGTAATTTGTCTAGCGTATACGACATTTTCACGAGACATAGCTATCTAATTCCACTGGTACTCTGTCATAAAGAACCTTGATAGATGTATTTACATGTTCGAAGTGGATTTCTTTTCAAAAACCTACACGACAATCATAACATATTCAAACGGTAATCATTCAATGATGTTTAAACTTTCATATTTACCTACGAATGACTTTCTGTTTTAAATCGAGGCATATAATAAAAGAGCAGTCGACATGAAACCTATCAAAACCGGTTTATCACTTATGTATTTCCGATTTGGCGAAGAAAAGAACTAACATTTAAAAAAAAAGAACTGTTAATAAATATAAGAGAAATGTCGTCTTATTTTTATTTTTGTATGTCTGCTCCTTAACTTTCGTAGAAGCTTTTTAGTTGTGTAAAATTCTGATCAAACTCAATAGCCTCACTGTTCTGTAAATGATAATACACTTAGTTATTCATAGAGTGAGTATTAAAAGAACAATAAAACAAAAAAGGAATTTCTATGAACGTATGGTAAGTTTGACAAATGAAACAATCATATTCTTAGAATAGTATTTTTTTGAAAAAGTAACAGCTTACACGATTGTTCGTACAGTAAGGTAGCTTTCAGTAGAATATACCTGGTAAAGTACTCTACTAGCCGTGTCTAATTGGATTTTAGCGAGGTGCTCTATTGAAAATAGTATCACAAAATATTCTATTATATTTCATTCACGGAATGTCGTGAAAATTATTTCAATGTCTAGAAAGTTGCCATTGAGCGTGTTGATATTGTTTTTTTAAATACCACGTGAGTTTAATAGCAACCCAAAGTCAACAGTATTATTTCTGTTTGCTATGAAAATTTCGATTTTCTGACATACTTGTATATCTCTATACTGTAGAGATAATATTTCTAATTAAAATTCTCCAGTAGATATTAAAACATACAATTGACTCAAGAGAAAATTACGAAGTTT